AATATCATGCAAAAGCTCATTTATTTCAGTAATGCAACAATCCCATTACATATACAGGTGAAATTAAAAAAATTAGAATATTGTGCAAAAGTTCATTTATTTCAGTAATGCAACTTAAAAGGTGAAACTAATATATGAGATAGACTTATTACATGCAAAGCAAGGTAGTTCAAGCCATGACTTGTCATAATTGTGATGATTATGGGTGACAGTTCATGAAAACCCCAAATCCTCAATCTCAGAAAATTAGAATATTGCATGCAATCAATAAAACAAGGATTGCACATAGAACAATATTGGACCTCTGAAAAGTAAAAAAACGAAGAAAACCAGTACTTGGTTTGGGCCCCTTTTGCAGCAAGTACTGCCTCAATGCGGCGTGGCATGGAAGCTATCAGTCTGTGGCACTACTGAGGTGTTATGGAAGACCAGGATGCTTCAGTAATGGCCTTCAGCTTTTCTGCATTGTTCAGTCTCATGTCTCTCATCTTTCTCTTGGCAATGCCCCATAGATTCTCTATGGGGTGCAGGTCAGGCAAGTTTGCTGGCCAATCAAGCACAGTAATCCCACGGTCATTGAACCAGGTTTTGATGCTTTTGGCAGTGTGGGCAGGTGCCAAGTCCTGCTGGAAAATGAAGTCAGCATCCCCATAAAGCTCATCTGCAGAAGGAAGCATGAAGTGCTCCAAAATCCCCTGGTAGATGGTTGTGTTGACCCTGGACTTAATGAAGCACAGTGGACATGGCTCCCCAAATCAACACAGACTGTGGAAACTTCACACTGGACTTCAAGCATCTTGCAGTGTGTGCCTCTCCGTTCTTCCTCCAAACTCTGGGTCCTTGGTTTCCAAATGAGACACAAAAGTTGCTCTCATCAGAAAAGAGGACTTTGGACCACTGAGTAACAGACCAGTTCTGTTTTTCTTTAGCCCAGGTAAGATGCTTCTGATGTTGTTTGTTGTTCAGGAGCAGCTTGACAAGAGGAATATGACATTTGAAGCCCATGTCCAGGATCCGTTTGTGTGTGGTGGCTCTTGATGCACTGACTCCAGCCTCAGTCCACTCCTTGTGAAAGTCCCCAACATTTTTGAATGGCCTGACAATCCTCTCCAGGCTGCGGTCATCCCTGCTGCTTGTGCACCTTTTTCTTCCACACTTTTCCCTTCCACATAACTTTCTATTAATGTGCTTTGATACAGCACTTTGGGAACATCCAACTTCTTTTGCAATTACCTTTTGAGGCTTTCCCTCCTTATGGAGGGTGATGGTTTTCTGCACAACTGTCAGGTCAGCAGTCTTTCCCATGATTGTGCTTCCTACTGAACCAGACTGAGAGACCATTTAAAGGCTCAGGAACCCTTTGCAGGTGTTATGGCTTAATTAGCTGATTAGAGTGGGACACTTTGAGCCTAGAATATTGAACCTTTTCACAATATTCTAATCTTCTGAGATTGTGGATTTGGGGGTTTTCATGATCTATACACCATAATCATCTCAATTATGACAAATCATGGCTTGAACTATCTTACTTTGCATGTAATGAGTCTATCTATATCATATATTAGTTTCACCTTTTAAGTTGCATTACTGAAATAAATGAACTTTTGCACGATATTCTAATTTTTTGAGTTTCAGCTGTAAATCATCTGCTAAGGATAATATTAATTTTACTGGGATGGCTTTCATATGGCTTAATTGTGTTGTCTGAACTTTCTATTTGAAAGCAACACATTATCTACAATAATGCAGATAAAACCAAACTATTTTATACCTGCGTGTTCCACACAATTTTTCCATACACTAGCTTCAATTGCTTACCAATTAATTATGATCATGCTATTAAAAATCATGATCATTTCTCTCTTTTTTTGAGGGAGCAAAACATTATTAGTGACAATATATTGAAAAGCAGTGAGTACTGCTAGGAAATCTGAACATTCAGACCATCTTATCACAGAATAAAAAATAATTTCTTGAGCATTGGTAGCCTTTTAAGAAGAGAAAAAAGTGATTGATTTTAGATTTTATCTGGCACTTTATTTGCATCTTATATCTCCAGGCTAACAGTACAGACTTTCTGTTTTCATACAGTAGTTTATTCTTCAGTGGTTCTTACAAGTCACTTTGTTTTCTCCTCAGGCATTGGATACATGTTTGCAAAAGCATATTTGGTTTCTAAAAAACCCCAATATTTAGACAAATGTATCCGCTGTGGAGAGCTAACCTGGCAGAAAGGACTACTAAAAAAAGGTCCTGGAATTGTGAATGGTGTGGCTGGCAGTGCTTATGTGTTCCTGCTCCTATACAGGCTAACAGGAAGTTCTAAATACATGTACTGTAAGGACCAGCCTCTCCCCCCTTCAAAATATAAGTTTAGAGCACACGTCACATTTATATTATTAATAAAATATTTATTCACTGATGTATGATAAAAAAAATAATGGACCAGAACTCACTTGCTTTTTAGCACTGTGGAGCCTTAAACTCTAATTTATCAGCTACAATCCTAAAATGCACTAAGCTATTATTTATTTAATCTAGTATCATAAAAAAAAACCCACCCTATTTTATTTAATACACTGAGCCGTAAAGTATAATTTACATTTCACATTGGCTTATTTTGCACAACACAAAATTCTATGACGAAACAATATGGTACATGAATGATCTTTTCAGCTCTGTATAGTATACTGTAAATATATAATTAATAAATAAATAAATAAACAAACAAACAAATAAATAAATAAATAAATAATGGAATTATTTGTGACATTAATAAATGGCAATATAGATGGCAATATATATTACATTATTCTAAAATTAATTTCACATTTGAAAATCAGCAAAGAAGCAATTTATGTTGTTATGAATCCACTATTGCTAAACTCTACCTATTTGTGTGCTATGAACATTGCATACATTACAAAACTGTTCTTACCTTTGATATCTACTTCTTGTCATTATTGAAATTAAGATGAATGTTATCTGGTAAAATTGTATCTTAATGTTAAATTAAAAAATATTGCCAGTATAGTAGTTTTCACACTTTATTTCAAAATGTATTACTTTTGTATTGTAAACTAGAGAAGTATATAAGAGAATAAGATGCTTTTTAAATGCTTTTTAAAATGGTAATCAAAATAGTGGTTTAGAATAACAAAATTCCTCCACCAATTGATGTTATTTATATAAAATACATATGCTTGTTTTCCTTGAGACCTGTGTGCCTGCTTTTACCAAACTCCCATGGTGTCTTCTTTAATTTTAGTCTATCTAAGCTGTACATATTTTTGATCATTCTGGTGACTACTGGAAATATTTCACATCCCCATCCCACACTGTGAAGAGTTATTCCACTTATTTATTTAGTTATGCCACTATTTTCATGTTATCCTATATAAAGATTTGTACTGGTTTTCAATTACTAAAAAGTTATATTTAGCTACTTATTTTGAGGTGTTTCCATCTTTGTAATTTTTGCCATAGATATCATCTAACAGCGTTTCTCAACCTTTACAACTTTCAGATATGTAGATTTCAACCTATCTTCAAAAGTAGCCTGAAGGAAAGCTCTTCTTGGAATGGAATACCATTCTAAGCATCCATTCTCACCTATTCCTGATCCATTCTATGTTAGGAAGAGTATTTGTTTTCTATGGATAAGCAACTTCTCTTAGACTGACAGCGGCAACTCTTTTCTGCTGGATCTAGGACTGGTACGTAGACATGTGTCAGATCCGTGCAGCTCTCATTTCTTCAATGGAAGAAGAAAAGTGGGGGAGACTGATAAAGATATCCTTCTTGATGTAACCTGAATATATTTAATCTTATATCAAATTTGTATAACCTACACATGATACAATGGAGAGATGAAACCCAGATGGCCAGAACCTATCACCTCTGAAAGAGACAGCCAGGAGATGAAGAGACCATAAAAATTCCACAGTGAGATGTGTCCTGGGAAACTCTGTAAAAGATCGTTCTAAAAAGGGGGTGGGGGGAATTAACATGTTGGTTCTTTGTTTTACTAAATACACATCAAGATAAGGGGAGGGCTTTGAAAAACTCCCTTATCTATCTCTGCATGCCTGAGAGACCTTAGTGCTTTTGACCCCTACATGAATTGTCTCATCTCAATAAAGGATTCCTTTTGATACGTTTTCAGAAGTTCATTCTTGTTGATTGAATGGGAAAAGTTCTGTAGCCTGACATACCCGATTCTGCAGAGAGTAAGCAGAGGTTCCCTGGTTTCTCGTGTCATGGGGAATTGCCATTTTTTCTTAACACAATCTCAGTACATAGTACTTTTACTACCATGAAATTGGGGGCAATTGTCACTGGGTGAATTTTGTCCATTGAGCATCTACGCCACAGCCTTTCTAAAAGCATCCTCCCCTGATATCTGGGGATACAATGGGTATCCTAATTCGTAACAGGTACTTAGACATTTATGGAACATCTGGTTGGACGAGGCTTTATTAGTGACTGCTGTTTGAGAAGGAGTAACATTCAGCGTAAAATCAAAAGGCTTCACCATTCAAGCCACCTCTTCCTTTGCCTGTACAAATTAACATGGTGTATATCTGGGCTTGATTTTAAGTAGAGCCAAACTCCAGCATGTGGCAAAATACAGGATACCTGCATCTTTGTTTCCAATGTAGAAAGATTCCACTATTCCCAAACTCAGAGAGTTAACAGACAAGTCGAGCTGTGATCAGAGGGACTCTTTTGTTCATCCCCGAGCCCAGAAAGCTGGTCTCAGATGCCCGGCGCTCTCGGCGAGTGCTGCAGTGCTTTCAGTCCTGACTCCTAGTGGCCATGCATTGCAAGCGCCAGTTGCTCCTCTCTTCGCCCAAGAAACTGAAGCGCCAACTGCAGAAGACGGAGATGGGCGTCAGGAAGCCTCCGCTGCGGGTCTCTCTGCCACGACATCCGCCTTCCCTTGCAGCCCCCTGAGCCTCCGGTTGGCCTGCCGGCGGGAAGGCCACAAAAAAGGAGCGATGAAATTCCCGGGCTCCGTCCTCGTCTCGCTGTTCCTCTTCGTGGCCGAGACGGCGATCGCCTTGTACCTGAGCAGCACCTACCTCTCAGCGGGAGACCGCATTTGGCAGTCACTGACGCTCTTCTTCGCTCTCTTGCCTTGCATCCTGGTCCAGTTCAGCCTCGTCTTCATCCACCGCGACCTCAGCCGGGACAGGCCGTTGATATTGCTGCTTCACATCCTGCAGCTAGGACCCATTGTCAGGTGGGTGGGACGGTTGCTCCCCAGAGGAGGAATGCCAAGGCTAGCTCTTCTCCTGAGGGCTCTTCAAGATGAATTCACTGCTCTTGTTTCCTAATGGCAGCAACCCATGACAACAAGCCGTCACACAAACTGCACAGAAGGATACAACTGACTAGGGCGTCCTGGCTGTATAACTCGGGATGAATCCATTACTATAGGGAAGTAGGTGGTTCGACACCTACAGCAGATAAAGAGCTTGGTCTTTTATACATCTGTAAAGCCTATTCTCCTTTTAGCTGTCTGAGAATCTTTTTAAAAATCGTTAAAAATCAGCTTGATATGGTGTGTTAATAAATCTTTTCTATGAATGAATTAAAGGTAGATATTAGTGTTTCTCCGTGTTGGCAACTTCAAGACTCTGGCAATGGGATGCATAAAGAGAAAAAATGATTTAACTTTTAGCTAATCATTGTTTTTTGTATGCAATAAATGCTTGGTCCCGAATGGCACTAGCCATGTCAACACTTCATGGAATATACCATTGGCTAGGGAGCCCTGGGCCTTTAACTCACAATGAAAAATATTAAAATTCAAAATTATAATTTGTGTATCAGGATATTTTTGTTTTTAAAGGAAACAAGAATTTTAAGCCCCTCTGGCATCAATGTGGTCTGTAGCCTATAAATATAGTCTGCATATATAAAACATAAATAGAATAGAGCTGGAAGGGACCTTGGAGGTCTTCTAGTCCAGCCATCTGGTCAAGCAGGAGAACCTATACAATCTCAGACAAGTGACTATCCAGTCTTTTCTTAAAAACCTCCAGTGATTTTCAGATGCAAGCTGTTCCACTGGTTAATTGTCCTTACTGTTAGGAAGTTTCTCCTTAATTCCAGGTTGCTGCTCTCTTTGATCAGTTTCTGTTCACAGTTACTGTTTTTGAGCCAGGTCTTGCCTAATCTGTACTTATATCTTTGATTTTTTTTTCATAAATGGTAAGTTTTGCTTTCTTCCACATTAAAATTCATTTTGTTGGATAGGGCCCAAGTTTGTCAAGATCTTTTTGGATCCTGAGTTTGTCGTCTGGGGTGTTGGATAGTCCTGCCAATTTAGTATTATCTGCAAATTTGATGAGTACTATTCCCTCATCTAAGTCATTTATAAAGATATTGAAAAGTAGTGGGCTTAAGACAGAACCTTGTGGTACCCCACTGCTTAACTTCTTTCCATGTGGATGTAGTACCATTAAGGATTACTCATTGAGTACTGTTGGTCAGCCAGCTACAAATACATCTGATGGTGAAGTTGTCTATTCCACAATTTTCTGGCTTACCAAGAAGTAGATTGTAGTCTACTTTGTCAAATGCCTTACTGAAATCTAAGTATACTATGTCCACAGCATTTTGCTGGTCTGCTAATTTAGTGACTTTATCAAAGAATAAAATAAGATTGGTTTGGCATGATCTGTTTTTAGCAAACCTGTGATGGCTACTAGTTATAACTTTATTTGTTTCTAGTTGTTCACAGATCTGTTTTTTTATTATCTTTTCCAGGATCGTCCCAGGTATTGATGTTAAGCTGATTGGTCTGTAGTTTTCTGGGTCTGTTTCCCTCCCCCCTTTCTTTTTTTTGTAAAAATTTTATTTGGGTTTTCACAAAACAACAATTAAAATATCTTTTTGAGAACAGCATGATTCCAGGTTATCACTTCATATTCATCTTTTACATATTCATCTTTTTCTAAATTTCAGTATCTTTCTAATCATTATATTTATACTTTTGTCTGTCCTATTTACACTTTCATATTTTCTTTTCTCATAAAACAAGATTTCCCCTGTAATTACTAATTGGAGTGCAACACTTTTATATTTTTAAATTACTGTCCATTCAAATCTCATTTAAGATTTAATTTATATCTTAACAATTATAACATTGAATTTCTAACCTCTATTTTATAACATATAACTCTTATCAACCAAATTCTGCTTGGTACATTCCCTTAGAAATACACACTAGGTCCTAAAAATACAATTATAACATTCCATTTCATATAATTTATCAACCAAGTTCTATTTGGTACATTCCCTTAAGAATCAATAAATTCTAAACAAAAAAGGAAATAAAGTAATTAATAGAGTTGTTATTCTATTCAAATTCATCTTAACATCTGATATTCATATTTCTTTTCAATTATATTTTAATAAATCATTGGTAACAGTTAAAATATTCCCATCCTTTCCCACTTCCATTCTCTTATTCTCTTTATTTCATTTAGTTACATTCTATTACATAACAGTACCAATTTTATCTATCACTTTAATCACCTATATTTCATATTTTCTATACCCATTACTATTTCTAATATAACAATACTATCTAATGCAGTGGTCCCCAACCTTTTTTGTACCAGGGACCAGTTTCAAGCACAAACACTTTTTCAAGGACCGGGGGGGGGGGGGGAGAGAAGAATCCGAGTTTGGTGGTTTGCTTGCAGACGTTTCATTACCTGACTAGGTAACATCTGATGTTGTTACCTAGTCGGGTAATAAAACGTCTGCCAGCAAACCACCAAGTTCAGGGAGCGCCTCGGCCCTGCCTCCCTCAGCCCCATCCCTCAGGTGTCTCCCTCCCTCCCTCAGGTGTCTGCCTCGTTCCTCTCTCAGTCGCTCTCTCACTGCTCCAGGAAGAAACTGCTTCAAAGAAGTGGGGGGTGGTGGCTTTTCCTGTCGCCGCAGCTCCTCCGAAGCGCCCATTTACCCCCACCCCGCCCACCCGCCCGCGGTTCAATCCACAGTGCTCCGTTCTGCCTGCCTGCCTGCCTTCTTCATTTCGGAGCAGCTTCGGCTGATAAAAAGAGGCGAATAGTTATTATTCGCAGCCGAAGCTGCTCCCAAACAACCAAACAGGCAGGCAGGCAGAACGGAGCACTGAATTGAAGCGCGCGCACGCGGGCGGGCGGGGTGGGGGTAAACGGGTACTTCGGAGGAGCTGCAGAGACAGGAAAAGCCACCCACCCCCCAGCTTCTTTGAAGCAGTTTCTTCCTGGGCTGGTGGAGCAGCGAGAGAGCGACTGAGAGAGGAACGAGGCGGGAGGAAACCGAAGCTGCTGAGCCAGAGAGCAGGACAGGCTTCGGTTGCTTCCTCCCTCCCCTTCTTTCATTTGTGTCCTTGATCCCCGATCCCAGCAGCATTCACCGAAGGCGAAGAAAGCCGCCATTTTTTTTAATTTTTTTTTCTTTGCGGCCCGGTACAGAGTGCTCCACGGACCGGTACTGGTCCGCGGCCCGGTGGTTGAGGACCCCTGATCTAATGTACCCTTGCAGAATCCTCTCTTTCAATTAAGTTTTCAACCATTATCTCTGTGAATCCTTGTATGTTTCCCCTGCTTCTCTATATCCTGCTTCTGTCCTTTATAACTTCTTCTCCTTTCCATTTCCCCCTTCTTCTTCTCCCTTGCCTTTTTGACCCCCTTTCTCTCTAATTCTAATTCTCCCTTCTGTAATCCTCTCTTCTGCTTCCTCCTAGTATTGTAATTACTCTTCAAGCTATTCTTTTTTTTTGGTTGTTTTTTCAGATCTTAGGTTTTTCACTCCCTTCCCCCTTTTCCTTTTTAACCCCACATAGAATTACTTAATCATTAAAGATGACTTCTTTGTCCTGCCCTTCTTGTTCTGCAAGCATTTCTTGTTGTTTTTCATAGTTCAAAATCTCCATTTCTAAAAATTGAAATATGAAGCCAAAAGATCCTCTTCCCTCTTGTGCATCTTCTAAGATCTTTCTGCTTTTTAAATTCCATTTTAGCTCTTCAAGGAGTAATGCCATTTTAAACACTTTTAAACCACCACCCAATTAATTTTAGTCATTAAAATCCAACAGCCAAAATTCCAAAAATCACCAAATAATCCAAAGCTGTTTCTTCTTGCTTCTTTTTTCCACTTTCTCTTTCCAGAGGTTCTGTTATCTTGTAGCAAAGTTTCAATTACAATGTATCTTTTAGGAGTCTTGTTAAAATTTAACTGTTAATTCTTTTTAATTTCAGGTGGTCTCCTCCATTTTTTCCAGATCCCACCCTTTTCTTTTTTCTTTTCCTCTCCTTTCCTCCTTTTAAAGGTTTTAAAATATCCAAAAGTCTTTAAAAGTCCCTTTGACATTTTATTTTCAGCTTAAAATTGCCTATTAATGTTTTATTTTCAGCTTAAAATTGCCTATTAATGTCAAAGTGGATTTATATCAATTTCTTGCTTAGATCTTTTCTTCTTAGCATTTAAAGCCAATTACAACTGTCAATGTAAGAGAAAAAAAACACCAAGTCTTTTCCCTTTCCTCTCTCTTTCACCGCTTCAAATATCTTTTTTGGGAACGGTAGTATTCTTTATAGTTCAAGACCCAGGGTACCCTGTATAGTTGCTTTTTCAATCCAACCTGGTTAGTCAAAACTTTCTCTTTTATCTTCCTCCTGCACAATCTTGTCTGGTCAGGTTCTTCTTTGAGGTGGCCATTTCTGACCACCGCTGCAACTATCTTCAGCAAAGGGAGTAATGGCCAGCTGAGGAGGAGAGATGTGCCTCTCCTCAACCCCGCTGGCAGTCTCCCCGCTCTTCACCTCTACGGGGTGGCTTAGCCCCAAATCCAAGTGGCATAGGGTGCTCCGGTGGTGAGCACGAATCGAAACCGTGCACGATTGCGGATTTCGGTCCATTGCTGAAGAAGCCCAAACCGCCCTCCCCCCCTTTCTTGAAGATGGGAACCCCATCAGCCTTTTTCCAATCCTCAGGTACTTCCCCCGCACTCCAGGATTTTTGAAAGATTTGGTACACTGGTTCTGAGATCATATTTGCCAGCTCCTTCAGAAGTCTGGGATGTAATCTGTCAGGTCCCAGTGATTTATATTCATCAAGGTCAGGTAGATGTTCTCTTGCCATTTTCTTACTTGTTTTAGTTTTTATTTCTGGTTTGTCTTTTAGTTGCTTTTTTGGTACGTTGGGCTATAATTTCTTTTTGTGTGAAGACTGATGCAAAGAATAAGTTAAGCAGCTCTGCTTTCTCCCTATTGTCTGTTACTTCCTTGCCATCTTCTCTCTTTAGTGGACCTGCTGTTTCCTTGAAATTTTTCTTGTTATTAATATGTTGGAAGAAACTTTTTTATTATCTTTGTTAATAAAGTAGCAAGCCTTAGTTCATTCTGAGCTTTTGCTTTCCTGACTGTCTTTGCATGTTCTGGCTATCTGCTGGTAATCAGCCTTAGTTGTGTGCCTCTCTTTCCATTTTTTGTGCTTGTCCTTTTTGTTTTTCAGAGAGAGATCTTTGTGCAGCCATAATGGTTTCTTCTTGAGTGTTATTGCACTGGACTGGGCTTTTATTATTGCATTTTTCAGAGTTTCCCATGCTTCTTGAATTGTTTTCCTCTTTAGGATTTTCATCTATGGAATCCTAGGGTCTCTCTGTGTTTGTTAAAATCAGCACTTTTAAAGTTTAAGGTACTGGTTGGATTATTTTCTATTGCTTGTGTTTGTATTATATTGGTTCAAAATGTAGCAGTTGCATGGTTTTGTGCAAGTCAACGCTCACATCAATGCTCTTGTGGAAATTACACTGGTTGTTGATTTGCTTCTGGGTCCAATTCAAGGTGCTGGTTATTACATTTAAAGCCCTGCATAGCTTGGGGCCAGGTTATTTGAAAGACCATGTTTCCCAATTATACCTATCCAGCCCACCAAATCAGGCAGGTAGGGTATGTGATGAGTCCCTTAAATCAAGAAGGTCCACCTAGTGGAACCAACTAGGGGCCTTTTCTGTGATGGCTCCCTATCTGGGGAACATAATCCCTATAGTGATGATATAATAGTTTTGCCAGTGGGTCTGATGGTCCAGACCAATATGGATCCCATTGGGTGGTGGGCAGTTTGAATGTTGGTACCAGGGGCAAGGAGGTCTATTGGGTTTTGTTTGGGGGGAGGTTATTCCTTTAACTTGCCTGGCATCACTGTCAATAAGTTGGACAGCAATATACAATTACTTAATAAATAAATCATACAGAATGCAGTGAGATACATGTAGTATGGGTTTAATTTTTTTGTGTTGACTCCTCAGCCAGTCCCTACAAGTTTCTTGGTAACATTTTTCAGAAGGTCTTTCCTATTGTCTCCTTTCTAGAGAGATTGATTGACCAAAGATTATCCAGCTGGCTTTGTGCCAAAGGCAAGACTAGAACTAACAGTCTCCTTGTTTCTAGCCTGGTGCCTTAACCAGTACACCAAAGTGCTTCTCAAGATAGGTGTTGGGCTATGTAAAATCAATAATGCTAAATGTGGATCATATTAGTATGTAACCAAATAGAGAAGGAAGCTTTTCTCTAAATAATCTGATTTCATGGGGATGTTTAGAGTATTCTGAATCTTCATATAAAATACTTAGTGCTATTACTTTTCTCTGTTATATGATCCATAGTTTTAATAATCTTAAGTGTGAGTTAGCTGATTGGTGTGTATACCGATTGTTTTAGGGAGTGACAGTGGGGATATAAATGTATATGCAATCTATTAGACTTTTTAAATATGTGATAAAAATAGATCACTGTAATGGTTTCTCTGGTTTGTTCCTTCCAGGTGCGTGGAAGCTTTTTACATTTACTTTCATGCAGGTAGAGTGGAAGAGCCTTATGTCAGTATTACTAAGAAGAGGCAGATGCCAAAAGATGGACATTCAGAAGAAGTTGAGAAGGAAGTAGGCCAGGCAGAGGGGAAGCTGTTTACACACAGATCTGCATTTAGTCGAGCATCAGTGATTCAAGCTTTCCTAGGATCTGCACCTCAGCTAACACTTCAGCTTTACATCTGTATTCTGCAACAAGAGATCACAGCAGCTAGAAGTATGTACAACTGTGTTTTCTTTTCTCTATATTTCAGTAAATGCTTTAAGAAGGGAATTATAGGCAAATAATGTCTAAACCTTCTCTCTTTTTAGAAAGGTTCAAATGATTAAAAGAGGTTATTGTGGTGGTATGACTATCTTGACATATGTTGTCAGCAACATTTTCATGCTATTGGTGTCATCATAATATTTACCAATGTTGTAGGTGCCAATGCTTTTAAAACAAACATTACATACTTAAATAAAGTAAAAATGGCTACAATCTCAGATATTAGATTAAGCTACAATTTTAAATTCTTTTCAAAGTAATTTTTTTAACCTGAGATTACCAACTGAGAGCATTGTACCAATCAAAGGTACCTCCAACAAAGAGATTTGCAATAGTATGATCCATAGGGGCTACATTGCCTATATTTGCATCAAGTCATCATTTGCTTAAACATGGTTTACTGAAGAAAAAAAACATTTGGTTATTTCACACAATAAATAATAAACTGTTCTTTATAACCATAATGTCTGTATTCACAGAATTCACTAAACTGAAGCCAAATAAATCACGTCAGGATTCCAGCAGTTACCCCAATTAAATCATGAGCCTCGAGCCAGACTCCTAAAACTTCAAAGGATTTCTTGGAAGTCAACATGTCAACATGACCTGGGCATAGCCAAGTCTGAGACACGTAATTCACTGTCACCATTGACCCTGCTTCCCCCCCCCCACCCATCTGGGTGTATCATAATTCATATTCTCCAATGAGACACGTCCAAGAGTCATCAATCATGCTCTCCAATTAAATTTTTGCACAGCAGAAGCTTCAGTCATCTAATCAGTCTCTGAAGAAAATATGAATGGAATGTACTTTCAATTCCACACTGTTGCCTGCTCTTTGAAATTCCCCCCTTCTTTCTGTTGACAACTATAAAACATGTATAGAAAATGTTTTATGAGTTGACATTTGGCTCCCCTCACTTCTTGAAGGTGACCTGTATGACACACACACAAAAAATAGATTGCAGTTATAGAAACATGCTCACGAACCCCCTCCCCAGGCTTGATTGGATTTTTTGCATGGAACCTTGCTACAAGGCAGTCAGCTTGGACATTCCTACTCTTTACCCATGATGCCTCTGATAAGGGGTAGCCACTTGATTAAATATTGGAATTGTCTCCTGTGCCACCTCGAATCGAGGATTCGCTGCACCTCAAAATAGGTTTGGCTTCCTATGACACGGGGTCTGGGGGCTTATGAGGTAGGGGCATCAGCACTGATCCGACCACGGGTTTTAATAGGCTACTATGGAATACCAAGTGTATTTTCCTTAACAATCGGGGCAACTTCAATTTCACCATGACTGGCTTGATGATCTTTACTATGGGGAATGGTCCCATGAACTTTGACCCCAATTTCTTGCTAGGGAGTCTTAACCTCAGATATTTGGTGGAAAGATAGACCTTTTCCCCCAACTGGAATGGTTGTTGCGGTGCTCGGTGTTTGTCTGCCTGTCTCTTATAGGTTGATGCCACTTTCACCAGTGTTTTTTTATATATAACTTTTTATTTTTTAAGACAAACATATACAAACAAAACATAAAAACATCTTCCATTTTATATACACATACAGTGTGTCAGTAGTTTACAAATCTTTTGTGCTATCCTTTCATAGTCATTACTCACAGTTTATATAGTTTTTCACATTGTCAAAGTAACATATGCTTATTTATTTATCAGTTATTAATCATGCATGACTAAACTATTTATTCCATCGTTTTATATGAGATATTCCAAATTTTATTTTAAAATTTATATTGTACTTTCATCCAATGGTTATATATGTCTACATTATATTTTATATCAATCTATTGAACTTCCATTACAAAATTATCTAATCTATTACATTACTATGTCTTTTTGTCCAACCATTGATAAAACAAATCCCATATCATATTGAATTGCTTATCTTCTTGCTCTCTAATTTCAAATGTCAATTTACTCATTTCAGCACAGACCATAATTTTCTTAATAACTTCCTCCTGCATAGGTATTTTTCATTTTTCCAATTCTTAGCAAATACAATTCTAGCTGCTGTTAAAACATTTACAATCAAATATTTCAGCTCTTTATTGTATATTTCCGGTATAATTCCCAATAAAGAGATCTCTGGTTTAAAGTCTATGTGTTGTTTTATCATTTTTTCCAACCATGTGTGGATTTTAGTCCAATATATTTTTGCATCCGAGCATGTCCACCACATGTGGTAATATGAACCAGGTATCTGATGACATTTCCAACATTTATCTGATTTGTTCTTAAACTTTCTCGCAATTCTCATCTGGGGTAGGTACCACCTGTAAAACATCTTGTACAAATTTTCTTTATATGCAGTTGACATTGTCATTTTATAATTTTGAGACCACAATTTTTGCCATTTCTCTAAATCAATTCCATATCCAAAATTTTACCCCCAAGCAATCATCGTTTCTTTAACTTGTTCTTCCTTCAACTTAAATTCTAATAAATGTCCATAAATTTTTTAATTACCTTTTTAATCAGTACCCATCAGAATTTTGTCTGTCAGTCAACTTATCATAAATACCTTGTTTTAAAATCTTTATCAAATCTAGATTGTATTTGCAAATATGAAAACCAATTCATTTTTACACCTTGTTCTTCCAACGCTTGCAGAGATTTAAGTTCACCCTTTTCATTCAATATCTCACCATATCTAACTGTTTGTTCCTTTTTATATATTATTGGATAAGAAAAAGCTTCAATAGTAGATATCCATAATGGATTTTTTAAGTAATATTGTCTTTTTATCTTCTCCCAATTCAAAAACAATGCCTTTCTAATGTAATGTCTTCTAAAATACCCCTGTGTTTTAGTTCCCTTATACCAGAGGAAGGCATGCCATCCCAGCAGCAAGTCATGCCCTTCTAAAGTCAATAATCTACTGTTCCTTAATGTTATCCATTCCTTTATCCACATCAATATTGTCACTTGATAATATAACTCCCAGTTAGGCAAGGCAAACCCTCCTCTTGTTCTTGCATCTTGTAACAGTTTAAGTTTTATTCTCGCTTTCTTGCCCTGCCAAATATATTTCAGCACAATTCTATTTAAGTCTTCAAAAAACTCTTTCCCTAGTCGAATTGGAATTGTCTGAAATAGATATAAAATTCTAGGCGATACATTCATCTTAATTGTAGATATTCTCCCAATCAATGATAGTTGTAAGTTTTCCCATTTTGCCAAATCTGTTGCAATCTGCTGTTTGAGTTTAACATAGTTATATGATTTGTCTCTTTGGCAGAAATCCATTTTGATCAACATGGATAAAGTTATTTAAATATCTTTTCAGTCTTTGTGCCAAGATTGAAGCAAAGATTTTGTAATCTGAATTTAGTAGGGATATAGGTCTATAATTTTTAACTTGCTGCAAGTCTGTATCCTCCTTCAGTATAAGTGTAATATATGCTTCTAACCATGTTTTGGGTATTCTTTTCTTTGACATAACTTCGTTCATGACTTCTAATAGGTGAAGATTCCTGAAAAGTTTTATAAAATTCCGCTGGCAATCTATCTGGACCTGGTGCGTTTCCAACATTTTGTTTTTTTTAAAGCTTCTGTTAATTCCATCATCGTTATGTTCCCTTCTAGCATTGTTTCAATATCTTTGGGTATCTGGGGTAAATTCGCTTTCTGTAAATATTGCTTAACTTTTTCTTCTTGAATATTCTCTTGATAGAACAATTTTCCTTAGTAATCTTGAATAATTTTTTTCTTCTCCTCATTTCCATAGCAAACATGTCCTTCTTCATTTATTAATTGACTAATCCTTCTTGATTCTCTTTTCTTTCTCAGTTGATAGGCTAACCATCTGCCTTGTTTGTTTGCATCTTCAAAGTAATTCTGTTTAGCAGTTTTAATTTTCTGTGCTAATTCCTCTTTTTCCATTAGTCCCATTTTATGTTTAGTTGTATCTATTTTAATTTCAATATCTTTTTTTTGTGGGGACTTCTGTAATTCTTTTTCCAGTCTTTAGTCATCTTCCAATGTTTTGAAAGTCTTTTTCTGTTTTCTGTTTCTTTTCCTTGTAGAGTCTTTTTTTTAATAAAATTTTTATTAATTTTCAATAAACAAACATACACAAACAAAACACAAAACATGAAAACATAAAACTTCTTTTTGGAAAGCGGCTTAGTCCCGGGTTACATCTTTTTGTACAGACATAAATTCGAATTCATGCTCACTTTATATACCATTTCATATCTTATTTACCATTCTACATTTTCTATGTAGCTTCTCCCCTCTTTTCACTCTCTTAATTCTATTTTATTTATTTCATCTCAATTTAGATCATTATGCTTATATCTTTTGTATGTTCCAATTATCTATTATCTTTTCTCATTAACACAAAATTTCTTCTGTAATCACTGATTGAAGTATGACACCTTTATATCTTTCCCCTAAATTTAACACTTAAAATAATATATAATTTTCATTCAGATTCTGCTTAGTACATTCTAAAGCAGGGGTGGGCAAACTACGGCCCGCGGGCCACATCCGGCCCGTTGGTCTGTCCAATCCGGCCCGCCCCTGAAAAAAAATTGCTGGCCGTGGCGTATTGCCCTGTGCCGCGTGGCCCCCAAAGCTGCAAAACAGTGCGGAGCACTCTCGGGGTAGGAAAGAGAAGAAGAAGTTTGCAAAGGCCTCGGCTGGGAGTTCGAAATCACCTTCGAGTGCGACCTCTCCGAAGGTGAGTCCCCACCGATCCCCCTTTTTTTTCCGGGGCTTCCAGGCTTAAACTTTGCAAAGGCAAAGTTTGCAGGCTGGAGCGTCTTCCCGCCGAGGAGTGGGAAGGGTTCCACCTGGCGGGCGGGCGGGCTGCTTGGAGCGGGCTGCTTGGAGCCACCTAAAGCTAGGCCGCTGCTGGTGGAGCCTTGCCCTGCGTGGGTGCCCTGTTTCCCGGCTCGGCGGTCCTGCTCGGGCGGCACTTT